GCCTGAGCCCGCGGGTTCGAGACCCACCTGGACAGGCGAGACCTCATCTCTACAATAAATCAAAAAATCATCTGGGCGTGGTAGTTCGCGCCTGTAGTTCCAGCTACTTGGAAGGCTGAGGCGGAAGGATCGCTGGAGCCCAGCAGGTTGAGGCCGCGGTGGCCGGGAGTGGCCACTGCCCTCCAGTCTGGGTGACTGAGTGAGACTCCGACTCAAAAAAAAAAAAAAAATTTTATTGGAACACAAGCCCATTTGTTTATGTATTCTCTATGGCCTCTTTCACACTATAATAGCAAAGGTGAGCTGCTACAACAGAGACCCCATATGGTCACAAAGGCTCAACTACTTACTGTCTAGCTCTTTATAGAAAAGCCCTGATTTAAAGATTAGAGGCCAGGGAACCAATTAGGAAGTTACTGCAACAGACAGAGGATTAATAAGTGTCTGGACTAGAGCACGTCTAAAGGACGGAGAGTGGCAGAAGTGCCAAGAAACACTCCAGAGGCAAGCCTGGAGGAGGGATGAAGGGGAGGGAGAGCTGCTCGGAGGATGGCTGTTTTCTGGCTCACATGACCCTGTGGGACCATGAGCTGAGATCAGGGACCAGGCAGAGGAGCTGGAGTGGAGAAAGAGGCTGAAGGATATCAGGACAGAGGTCAAAGGTTGGAGGTCAGTTATCCATCAGAAACACCTAAAATCCCAAGAGGGAAGAGGGAGCCGCAGGTTGATGAGTAATGCCTGTGAACTACTGAAGGTGAGAGACAAAAAGAGACCCTGAAAGGAGGAGTCCAAGGCAGCCTGGGGCTGAGCGAGGGGTCAGGAAAGACCCTGCTGGAGGACTAGAGTGTGTCTAACCGAACCGAGCCTGCCCTGAAGGAGGCTGAGAGCCACCCCCTGACTCTCCCTCCTTCATTCAACACCCCTTCTTGCTCAAATCAAAACTTTATTAGCAAAACAAACAACAAATGGACTAACCTGATTCTGTTCTCAGACCCTGGCCTTTAGCTTTTAGTCTTGAGTGAATAAATTCTTCTTTTTCCTAAAAACAAAAACGAAACAAAACAACAACAAAACCTCTTAGACCCCCTTTCTCTACCTTTTCTCTTTTCTCACTTTTCTTTGCTAGAGCACAACTACCTGCGCCCTGAAGAACACTGTGGGTGTGGATCATCTGAGAAATGGCCCATCTCAAAGTCTGTTTTGTTTTTTTGAGTTGGAGTATCACTTTGTCACCCTGGCTGGAGTGCAGTGGCTGCTGCCGGCCACCGCAGCCTCGACCTGCTGGGCTCAGGTGATCCTTCCGCCATAGCCTTCCAAGTAGCTGGAACTATAGATGCATGCCACCACGGCCGGCTAGTTTTTGTGATTTATTGTAGAGTCGAGGTGTCACCAAGTTGCCCAGGCTGGTCTCGAACCCCCGGGCTCAGGCAATCCTCTTGCCTTGGCCTCCAAAGTGGTGGGATTATAGGTTGAGCCACTGTGCCCGGCTCGAAGTCTGGTTTTTTGTTTGTTTGTTTTGTTTTTGAGTTGGAGTTTCACTCTGTCACCCAGACTGGAGTGCAGTGGCACACTCCCGGACACCGCAGCCTCGACCTGCTGGGGCGATCCTTCCATCTCAGGCTTCCAAGTAGCTGGAACTACAGGCACACACTACCACGCCCGGCTACTTTTTGATTTATTGTAGAGATGAGGTCTCGCCAAGTTGCCCAGGAAGATCTGGAAGTCTGTTTTAAACCACCTGACTGTGGTTAAAATCTGTATGCTTGAAACAGGATTTGAAAATGAGATGTTTAAGGCCGGGCTCAGTGGCTCAGCCTGTAATCCCAGCGCTTTGGGAGGCCGAGTCAAAAAAAAAAAAGAAAAAAAGAAAATGAGATGTTCCACTTTGGGAGGCAGAGGCGAGAGGATTGCCTGAGCCCATGAATTTGAGACCAACTCAGGCAGGTGGCGAGACCTCATCTCTACAATAAATCAAAAAAATTAGTCAGGCATGTGGTGGTACCCTGTCTCAACAAATGGTGTCTGTGGTTCTAGCTATTTGGAAGGCTGAGGCAGAAGGATCGCCTGAGTCCAGTAGGTTGAGGCTAGGTGGCCCTGAGTATGCCACTGTACTCCAGCCTGGGAGACAGAGTGAGACTCCGACTCAAAAAAAAGAAAAAAAAAAGAAAAGAAAAGGAGATGTTCAATAAACTCTGGGAGGCACTGTTTGTTTATAAACCCACAGAATAAGACAGAAATACTCCATCTGATGTAAACAGAAACCTAAGTGCTTTTCTTCTGGATTAGATATTTACACTTCTTTCTCATGCTTTTAAGAATTTCGAATCTTAAAAAAAAAAAAAAGATTTTCTAATCCGCAGAAGAATGACAACACATCAAAGAAACCTGTGTTTTCACAAACAAACACACACCCACATGCATGTGAAACAAGGACTTCTAGTTCTGGCTCTGCTACTCACGTCACTTCCTCTAAAGTCTCCAAATCTGTGATTCTATGAGTGACCAATGTTTCTCCAGTAAGATTACACAGTAGTTTAAAGAAATCATATGCACATATACATATATACCTTCACACAGTCACACTTACAGTGGAGGGTGAAGGGGAGAGACCCACACTGCCAAATAACAGAAAGTCAATACTAAGGATTTAGCACCCCCAAGTGGCCAACTGTATTATTTCTCATTCTGATTAAAACCTACCACTTACCTTTCTAAAAGTCAAATTCTGGTTTGCCCAGAACTGTTGATTCCATTCTTGTGTTTCCTGTCTTAATTCTCTAAGCTTTTGTTCCAATGGTGATTCATTTTCAGGGATGTAAAAGTGAACAGGGCGAAGGTTGGAATATCTATCTGGGGGTCCTATCCAATCATGGCAAGATTTCTTCGGAGGGCAGAATCTTGAAATCTTTAACAAAAGAAACAGGATTAGCATACAGTCAAATTAATCTCTAGTATTATAAAATCAACAGTCTGGATTAAGGTTCCTTGTTAGTTTCCTCTTTTGAAGACTATATGGTACACATAGAATTTCCAAATTAAAATAACTATAAGAAATATTATTAACATTAACACTATATTGAACATGCTCAATCAATGGTGATAGGATATTTTGACATCCTAATGCAAAAATAAAATAATATAACAAGAATCTTGAACAGGCATGATGGCTCATGCCCATAATCCCAGTACTTTGGGAAGCCAAGGCAGGAGGAATGCTTGAGGCCAGAAGTTTGAGACCAGGTGTGGTGGTGCAAACCTCATCTCTAAAAAAAACTTTTTAATTACCTGGGCTTGGTGATACATGCTAGTAATCTCAGCTACTTGGGAGGCTAAGGCAGGAGGACTGTTTGAGCCCAGGAGTATGAGACCAGACTGGGAAACATAGTGTCTCTACAATCAACAAAAAAAATTAGCCAGGTGTGGTGGCATGTGCATGCAATTCCAGCTACTTGGAAGGCTGAGGCAGAAGGATCACCAGAGCCCAGAAGGATGAGGCTGCGATGGCCATGAGCATGCCATTGTGATCCAGTCTGGGCAACACAGTAAGACTTCGACTCTAAAAAAGAAAAAAAAAAAAAAAAGACTAGCTTCCACTTGTCTGTTAAAGATCAATGTAACCAAAAAACTTAAAACAATTTCATTTGGAAGTGTCTTCTACCTGATTTTCTAAAAAGCGAGCTCTTTGGAACATGGCCTCCACCTCTGACAATGACAGAGTGCTTCCCGCCAGCCCTCCCTCCATAACCTACTGAGCAAAGAGATAAGCAAGCTAGAGACACAACACAGGTGAAGTTAAAAACAGTACACAAGATAGCCAGACACAAAAGGGACATTTTACTTTTGTGCTGCATTCTACTTTAAGACTTTCCATAAAAAGTAATCAGGTCAACCCATGGCTGCCTGGGGTGGGAGGTAGGGGAATTAGCTAGGAAGAAGAAAAAACTTTCTGGAGTGATGTTCCAGATCCTACCAGGGTGGCAACTGTGCAGTTTACATATTTTTCAAGTCACTGAACTGGATACTTAAAATGGATGTGTTTGTTGTAATATACATAAGTAAAATCTCCAAGAAGTCCATTCTTGAAAGGGGAAAATTTACAAAGATCCAAAAAACACTACAACAGACAGAATGAACTTGTCTTTGGCATTTAGGAAGCACCTCCTTTAGGATATTTCAGGACTTCACTGACACCAGGATGAGCTGTGACTTCCACGGATGAGATGCAGGGTTGGCAAAATATAAGAGAAAGCGCTTTTTGTCTCCTTGGCTGCTGACTGAAAATGTAATTTGAAGGGTAGAAATAATGGCTAGTAGTTTTATAAATTGAACACAGCAGCCGGGCTCGGTGGCTCAGCCTGTAATCCCATGCCTTTGGGAGGCTGAGGTGAGTGGAGTGCCTGAATCCGCAGGTTCGAGACCCGCCTGGGCAGGGAGACCTCATCTCTACAATAAATCAAAAAATCAGCCGGGCGTGGTAGCACATGCCTGTAATTCCGGTTACTTGGAAGGCTGAGGCGGAAGGATCGCTGGAGCCCAGCAGGTCGAGGCTGCGGTGGCCGGCAGTGGCCACTGCACTCCAGTCTGGGCGACAGAGTGAGACTCTAACTCAAAAAAAAAAAAAAAAAATCTAACACAGCTAACCAGGGGAAGCTGACTTGACAATGACCGCTCACAGCAGAAGACAGAAGGGGCGCAAAGAACAGCTGACAGTTGGATAGTTCTGCCCGCAGGTCTGAGCCTCCCTCACCCAGTCGGGGCTGACTGTCATTAAGGACCATCCCTTGACAGTTGTGCTAAAAAATTCACTGTAAGCCTGGGCAACATAGTGAGACCCCATTTCTATAAAAACATTTTTTAAAAAATAGCTGGGCATGGTGGTGTGCCTGTAGTCCCAGCTGCTTGGGAGGCTGAGAGGGAAGGACTGCCTGAGCCCAGGAGGTGGAGGCTGTGGTGAGCTGTGACTGTGCCACTGCACTCCAGCCTGGGCAACAGAGTAAGACCATGACTCAAAAAAAAAAAGAAAAGGAAAAATAGAAAAAGAAAAGAACCCAGTGTAGCCTGAGAAGGGAAACCAGGTCATTACTGAGGAAATTGACTTGCTCGTTTTCACGCTGACGGCTCCACCCAGCACCACCAACGCACAGACTAGAAACAGCCGCCTTCTTGTCTTCTCCTGTCCAAGGCATCCTTACGAGTCTTGGCTGCTATGACCCTCCTAAATCTTCTAAACTCCCAAACATTCTAAAAATAAGAATTTAAAACACGACAAGGCAAGACAGGGATTAGCCATGAAGCCAAGATGAGGCTCATGAGCTGTGCAGAGCCTGCAGAAGCCACAACAGGCATCACAGAAGCTACTACAGGCATCACAGAAGCTCTGCAATCTGGTCTTCTAGTTATGTTACAAAATATAATAAGGGCTGGGTGAGGTGGCTCACGCCTATAATCCCAGCACTTTGGGAGGCTGAGGTGAGAGGATTGCCTGAGTCCATGGGTTCACGACCAGTTTGAGCAATTTGGCGAGACCTCATCTCTACATTAAATTAAAAAATTAACTGGGTGTGGTGGCACATGCCTATAGTTCCAGCTACTTGGAAGATCAAGACGGAAGGATCACTTAAGCCCAGCAGGTGGAGGTTGTGGTGGCCGGGAACGTGCCACTGCACTCCAGTGCCTGGGAGATAGATTGAGACCCTGACTTTAAAAAAAAACAAAAAAACAGGAACATCTATTCATACAAAATTATCTTCCTTACACCCAGGTACACACAGACTGTTTCTGAGTTCTTCATCACAGTTCTTCCTTTGAGACAATGCTGGCACTTGTGTAGAATCTTATTAAAAATCTGTGGTATGGGCCGGGCGCAGTGGCTCAAGCCTGTAATCCCAGCACTTTGGGAGGCCAAAGTGAGGGGACTGCCTGAGTCCATGGGTTCAAGAACAGCCTGGGTAACATAATGAGACCTCATCTCTACAATAAATAAAAAAAATTAGCTGGGCGTGGTAGTGTACATCTGTAGTTCCAGCTACGTAAAACGCTGAGTTGGAAGGATTGCCTGAGTCCAGTGGGTCAATGCTGGGGTGGCCATGGGCATGTCACTGCACTCCAGCCTGGGCGACAGTGTGGGACTCCAACTCAAAAAAAAAAATCTGTGTTCAGCTCAGCACTAGAATGCTTATCATTAAGAAAACTAGGCCAGCCAGGCATGGTGGCTCATGCCTATAATCCAAGCACTTTGGAAGGCTTAGGAGAGAGGATTCCTGAGCCCAGGGGTTTGAGACCAGCTTGGGCAACTTGATGAGACCTTGTCTCTACAGTAAATAAAAAAATTAGCTGGGCGTGGTGGCATGCATCGGTGTTTCCAGCTACTTGGAAAGTTGAGATGGAAGGAACACCTGAGCCCAGCAGGTTAACCTGGGCAACAGAGTGAGACTTCGACTCAAATAAAAGAAAAGAAAACTATGCAAGTCTAGAGTAAGTGAATCAGTAGGAAATGTTGAAAATATATTACTTCCTTAGACTTATAAAATGTTTCCTTAAAAGTATCTTTCTCGCCAGGCTCGGTGGCTCAGCCTGTAATCCTGCGGTTTGGGAGGCTGAGGTGAGTGGATTGCTTGAGCCGTGGGTTTGAGACCTGCCTGGGCAACTTGACGAGACCTCATCTCTACAATAAATCAAAAAATTAGCCGGGCGTGGTAGCGCACGCCTGTAGTTCCAGCTACTTGGAAGGCTGAGGCGGAAGGATCGCTGGAGCCCAGCAGGTCGAGGCTGCGGTGGCTGGGAGCGTGCCACTGCACTCCAGCCTGGGCGACAGAGTGAAACTCCAACTAAAAAAAAAAAGTATCTTTCTCAGCCAGGCTCGGTGGCTCAGCCTGTCATCCTAGCACTTTGGAAGGCCAAGACGGGTGGGATGCCTGAGCTCGCAGGTTCGAGACCAACCCGGCAGATTGGTGAGACCTTGTATCTACAATAAAAAATCAAAAATTAACTAGGCATTGTAGTGCGCGCTTGCAGTTTAGCTACTTGGAAGGCTGAGGCAGAAGAATCGCCGGAGCTCAGCAGGTCAAGGCTGGGGTGGCCGGGAGCATGCCACTGCACTCCAGTATGGGTGACAGAGTGAGATTCCAACTAAAAAAATAAAATAAAATCAAATTTTCTTTTCCTAGCCGGGTGCAGTGGCTCATGCCTGTAATCTCAGCATTTTGGGAGGTGGAGGCAAGAGGATTGTCTGAGTCTAGGAGTTCAGGACCAGCCTGGGCAATTTGGTGAGACCTCATCTCTACTATAAATCAAAAAATTAACCCAGCATGGTGGGACACACCTGTAGTTCCAGCTACTTGGCAGGTTGAGGTGGAAGAATTGCCAGAACCCAGCAGGTTGAGGCTGCAGCGGCCACGAGCATGCCACTGCACTCTAGCCTGGGCGACAAAGTGAGACTGACTTAAAAAAA